AGAAATATTTTGTAACATTATAAATGCATTTACTGTCACTTTTGATCAATTTAATGCGTCCTTGATGAATAAAAGCATTAATTTCTTAAAAAAAAAAATCATATCAGTCTTACTGACCTCAAATCTTTAAATGGTAGTTATCTATATATTCATGCTTCGAGAACATAAATATTACATGTATACACAAATCAATTCTGTCATCGATCAGCACCATAAAAGTAGTTCATTTGACTAGGACTCTGCAATTTATTAATTATTTTACTGCCAATATAAAGTTAAAATTATGACCTTAAAAAGTAAAAAAAAAAATAATAATAATTTAAACTTAAAAAAATATATAATATTTAATATTATATTATAAATATAAATATAAAATGTAAATAAGTATATTTAAATATATTATATATAAATATATTTAATGATTTAAAATTAAATATCAGTGTGCAAATATTTACTATATAAATATTATATAGAATATAAATAAATATAAAATATATTTAAATGTATAAATGTAATTGTAGAAATATAAACAAAATTTTTTCCTTAAGCAATGTCATAAATATTGCAATTATTTTAATGTGCTACAGAAATAATAGTGTTAAACTTCAGTAACAAGAACAGTATTAGTTGGTGAGTTTGCGTCATTTCTGTGAATAAGTTAAAACTTTCTCCAAAAAATGCATCTGAAAGTACAAAAGAACATACATTTTGAGCACATAAGGGAAGATGGCATAATAAAGCAATAATCCCCAAGAAGCCGTGGTTTACAGTGAATTTACAACAGCTAAGGGGTGTTGTTAGGTACGACGCGAAGCTGTTATAAATTCACTGTAAACCACGGCTTCTTGGGGATTATTGCTTTTATAAAACGGTTATTCCATATACGTAGCAAGGTTTCACCAAATAAAGTGTAATGATATTAATAAAAACAGTATTCTTCCACCAAACAATGTAGCTCCTCAGAAACAGTTGTGGTTGCTACAAAGTGGTTGCCGAGCAACACACAAACGTAAACAAAGGTGTATGTTACTTTGTAGCGTCATTTACAACAGCTTCGAACGCGGCTCAGCCAATCAGAATCAAGCACCGGAACTATCTGCTTTATAATACGCCATTTACTATGCAGTTCAAAAGTTTGGGGTCAGTGAGATTTTTATTGTTTTTCAATAAAGTCTCTTCCACTCACCAAGGTTGCATTTATTTGATTAAAAATACAGTAAAATTGTGAAATATTATTACAATGTAAAACAGCTGTTTTCTATGTGAATGTGTTAAACTGTAATTTATTTCTGTGATGTGCAGCTGTATTTTCAGCATCATTACTCCAGTCTTCAGTGTCACATGATCTTCAGAAATCATTCTAATATGCTGATTTGCTGCTCGAGAAACATTTCTGATTATTATCAATGTTGAAAACATTAATATTTTTATGGAAACCGTGATTCATTTTATTTTTCAGGATTCACAGATGAATAGAAAGTTCAAAAGAACAGCATTTATTTGAAACAGAAATCTTCTGTAACATTATAAATGTCTTTACTGTCACTTTTGATCAGTTTAATGCGTCCTTGATTAATAAAAGTATTGATTTCTTTCATTAAAAATAAAAAAACATACATCGCACTGAACACAAACGCTTGAGCAGTAGTGTTCTGCGAGCCAATAGAAATGGAACGTTCTCAAAACGGTCCAATCCTGAAGCTCCACATTCTGAACACGTAAATGGTTCATTTGAACTGTCATATTCACAAACTCTGAGACTGACGAATCACACACCAGCGAAGAGGTCGTCGGGGTCGGGGTCGTGGTCCAGCAGCATGTGCTCGGCTTTGGGTCCGTTAGAGCTGCTGCTGATGTCTTCTGGAGACAAACTCCGTTCAGCATCCTGCAGAAACAACAACAGGCCAGAGACGAACCAAGCGAAGGATGCTTTACAGCACAAACATTCAAACCAAACCAAGTCAGCAGATCACAAGAAGGCCTAATAATAATAAATCTGTAAATCATCTAAATCTAGCAATAATACGCTGAGAATTCCACCCTGAAAACTGAAGCTCATTTCCCACTTCATATTAAAAAATATATATTATTAGATTAAATATAATATGATAATATATATTGTAGAATAATTATAATATAATTATTACAAGCTTTGTTATGAAATGTTTTCTTTTTACTTTCTTCAGTAGATCTAGAGAAGCTAAAACAGCCAACAATGAACTTGAGGAGCTGCGTTACGCCAGTTAATATGACTCTCGCTCTCTTCACATCACACGCTTCAGCAGCTCATTAAAGTTAATGTTCACACACACTCACACACACACACTCACTCACTCACTCACTCACTCACTCACTCACACACACACACACACACACTCACTCTCTCTCTCTCTCTCACACACACACACACGTCATAAATGTGACAAACTTGTGACCAGAAGCTCGGGAAGTGTGAAGGGTCTCAGAATCTGCTGATCAGCTGTAAATGAGCAGATCTGCACTGATGCTTATGAAGGATATTTCCTTACATTCATAAGCGAGACGCTACAGACAAAACCAGTGTGTTTTCATGCACTGCTCAGATTTTACTATAGAAAACATGCAAAATACACATTTAAGTGTTCATTTTATTGCACGTTATCTATTTGTGTCTGTAGATTTCAACCTTTAAAGAGTTTTTTCTCTTACAAACAGTTTTATTCCTCTCTATATTCTGAGGGTTTGTTCATATTTCATTCACACTGATTTATGCAACATTTTACTCCTGAAAACATGGTGAAAATATGTTTGCGTTCTGTCTGTTGACAGTATTTTCTGATTTATGGAGCGATAAAAAGAGAAACCCAAAAACCTTTAACTCTAATATGAACCTGGATTCATCTAATGTTCAGATTTATGTGCTGGAAATGTATGCAAATTTAATTAGATAATGCCTCATTTGCATATTTAAATATTTCTGATTAATTATCTGGGGAGGTATGCTGATATCTGTGTAATATTGAGTGATTAGCACACTGCTGTTCAGTGGTGTTTATGCAGTAGTTCACAGAATATCAGTTTTTTAAATAACACGTGACATACTTGGGCAAATGTCAAAATAACACCAATAGTATTTGTTGGTGAGAAACTATGTTAGATTTATAGCCATTCGCATGAGTTTAACTCTTACTTTGGCTTCCTCGCGTTATTATTTTAGCTTGCAATTCCAGAAAATGAGTCTAATATTAATCGCACAAGCTTCTAATCTGAACTGATGATTGTTTCGGAGTTTCTGCGCAGACGCGACGCAGTGCTGATGTGCAGAAGAAACCCGTGCTGCGCATGCGCGCTCGACATCTCTACTCGCTCATGAAATTCAATGAAATCTGTCAGAATCAGATGGAAATACGCCGCTGATTATGAATATTGATTTGTGATTAGAGTCTGCGAGCAGAAGGGCGTGTCGATCCGTGAACGCGATGCTCGCACGCAGCTTTAATCTCACCTCCATCGCGCTGACGAACAGATCCTCCGCGTCCTGCGGCTCCGGGACACCGGGCAGCGGTGGAGGCTCCCTTTCCTCCGCCATCTTCTACAATAACAGCCGAATAAAGTCTCAGTCAGAGAACGAGTGTGTGCTGAAGCCAGTCACGTGACTCAGTCTCATGACAGAAGCGCTTCATGCAGCTCATGCTCCGCCCTCACAGCGCAGAACGCCCACAAAAACAACACACACACACAGACACACACAAACACACACACACACACACACACACACACAGACACACACAAACACACACACACACACAGACACACACAAACACACACACACACACAGACACACACAAACACACACACACACACAGACACACACAAACACACACACACACACAGACACACACAAACACACACACACACACAGACACACACAAACACACACACACACACAGACACACACAAACACACACACACACACAGACACACACAAACACACACACACACACAGACACACACAAACACACACACACACACAGACACACACAAACACACACACACACACAGACACACACAAACACACACACACACACAGACACACACAAACACACACACACACACAGACACACACAAACACACACACACACACAGACACACACAAACACACACACACACACAGACACACACAAACACACACACACACACAGACACACACAAACACACACACACACACAGACACACACAAACACACACACACACACAGACACACACAAACACACACACACACACAGACACACACAAACACACACACACACACACACACACACACACACACACAAACTCTCACTCACACACACTCACACACACACACAGACACACACAAACAAACACAAACAAACACACACACACACACAAACTCACACTCACACTCACACACACAAACACACACACAGACACTCACTCGCTCACACACACACACACACACACAAACTCACACACACACACACACAAACTCTCACACACAAACACACACACAAACTCTCACACACACACTCACACACAGACACACACAAACACACAAACAAACACACACACACACACACTCTCACACACACACACACACACGCTCACGGAAACTGCGATACTTTTTTCAGGTTTCTTTGATGAATAAAAAGTTAAAAAGAAGAGCATTTATTCAAAATATACATCTTTCTCTAACAATATAAATCTTTGCTGTCACTTCTTAACAATTTAACACATCCTTGCTGAATAAAAGTTTTAATTTCCGTTCTGACGTTAGGGTTAGATGCATGTGCATGAGTGTGTGCATGTGTGTGTGTTTGTGAGTGTGTGTGAGTGTGAGTGTGTGATTGAGTGTGAGTGTGAGTGTGTGTGTGATTGAGTGTGAGTGTGTGTGTGTGATTGAGTGTGAGTGAGTGTGTGTGTGTGTGTGTGTGTGTGTGTGTGTCCCGAGGGACGCGTTTGCTGCAGCGCCGGATGCTTTGTGTAATGAGCTGCTGTTTACAACAAAGAACACGGCGCCAAATGATGCGAGGCGAGGCGGGCGGCGCGGGAGAACGCCCGAGATCAATTAAACAGGTTAAGGGAGTCATCGCAGGCCAGTGAATATCTGCCAGAGACGCGAGCGAACAGACAAAAGCACTGACATCAAACGCTGAAAAGGAGGAGGCGGGAAACGCGATCGATATCTGATAAATATACGACGCGGCGGATCCTGATAAACGGCCGTTCAGCGGCTCATTTACCGCCGATCGGCTTCGGCTTCATTCTCTCACTGTGTGAAACAAAACAAAACAAAAAAACACGTTATAGTCGTTCATTTCCTCATGAACTTGTATTTAACCCTTTGGTGCTATTCGGTCACTAGTGACTGCTGAAAAGTGACCGTTTTTATTTTTTATTGTTATTATTTTATCAGAATGGTACAAAACTTGGTGACTTTTGTGGCACTTTTTGAACACACGTACAAAAAAAAATTGCAATAGTATACTTTATATGGCTGTCATATAAAATGAATGAAAACACACCCAGCAGTGCAGGGGTTAAACTCTAAAACATCAAGTTTTAAGAGTGAACAATAGAAACACACTCATACGCTCACACTGTTGTGACTAACAGAGCGGCATTTATGAAATAAAATCAATCATTCAGCCACAATGCAGGAAAAAAGCAGCAACGAAAGAGTTAAACTGCAAAACATCAAGACACACACAAAAGCTGTTGTCTTGAGACTGTTTACCGGTTAGTTGCACCAGAAGACTCAACTAATTGGTTGAAATCAGACCAGAGTCAGATGAATCGAACATTTTTCCTTACATTTTTAATTGAATTTTGATGTTTGACTTAAATTATAGGTAACAAAATACTTTCTCCATGTAATATAATTATGCAAAAACTGACACTTCAAATCAACATAAAAAAAAAAAAATTTTGGCATTGTCTTAATATATACAAATGTAAAACCTAATAAAAGTGAGTAATTGGATTGAATAACCCTGTGTAGTCTTTGTCTTTCCACCAGATGGCAGGAGTCTGCCTCCAGTTACTGGATTTTTAAATACTTTTTCTTAAAAAATTGCATTATTTGAAAAATAGTATATTTTCAGATTTATTTTTTAATAGAATTGGCATAATAGAGGTAAATATTTTTTAAGCACTATGAAATCACCCCAAAACTACAAAATAATTATTAAAATATTTTTAAAATATAGTATATTAATTGATGAAAATGATAAGTCTTCATTCTGTTTAATATCTGTGGCGTTTAAGCTCCAGTGAAGTTCTCTGTGATTCCCATCAGCACAGCAGGAGGCAGAAAACACATTCCTCCAACCTTATTATTTATTATTAAAGTGTCATCACATGAATCTGTGCATTGATGATGATGATGATGATGATGATTTCTAAAATCAGACTCAGCTGATGGTGAATGACATCAGAATCATGCATCCTTTGATGTCACTGAAGTTATAAAGTATCACTAAACAAATGAACATCATCAACTGTCTCTTTATGAACCGTTTCTGTGGGCAGGACGCCTGACAGCGGGTCAAAGGTCACAGCAGGACTCGATCCTGAGCGTCTCAGACCACTCAGAGGTTTCACATTTCCACAACCTCTCACTGAAAATAGACTTTGAAGCGTAATTAATTTGACAGAAATCAAAGCTGATGATTCTCACTTGGACAAGTTTGATCTGGTTCTGCTCGGCTCTGCTTCCCTCTTCTGGCTCTCTGCAGCACAAACATTATCATCATCATTAATTCACACGAAGTTCATGAATATACTGACAGACGGTGATCTGACTGATGGGATTACGCAGGTCGTTTTCAACAGAAAAAACTTTTTTTCTAAAAAACGTGTCATTTTTAGGAAGGGAACAAAACTTTGCAAATGATTTAAGACCCTCAAAATACATATGTATTTTTTTCATTTTACAATTATTTCTTAAGAGATATAACCATTTAAAAAAATTAAAAAAAGTTACGTTTCACGATTTTTGACCTGGGTGTGTATGAAATCCCATTAGGTGTTAAAAATACTTTTTTAAAATCAAATTATCTATGAACTTATATTAGTGTTAATACACTTTTGTACAATATTTGTCACCTTTTCCCCATATATCACAGAATTTGGGTGATAAACATGAATAATTACATCTATTGATGAACCATTGCAGCACGAAAAATTTATCACTTTTTCATCTGAAAGTGGAAGTTTATGAAAGCAAAATAAATTTATTTTGTTTGAAAAGCTTTCAGAGTAATATTTAGAAATAAATATGTAGGTTTCATAAATTTGGGCTTTTTTAAAAAAAATCGTGAGTTATAAATTCAAAGGAATTTAATTAAATTCTATTTATTCCAAAGGGGCTAAATCCTGGTAATTCTCAGAATACATGTTCTTATAAATCTCATACGATTATATACTCAAACAAAATTTCTCATCAGTATTGAAAAAAATATATATGTATTTTTTGCATTATAGTGCATCATGTGCAATTTGATATTTCAAGGAATTTCTACATTTTTTAATTAACAAAAGGGTAAATGCATGCAGCAATAACATGGAAACATGAAAAATCTGAATTTTTCACATTCCCTCATCAATCATTAATTCACATTCTCTCATTAATGAGAAATTGCTGATCAATATGGTTTTAGCTGAAAAATATGAAGTTATGACAAATCTTTGAATGTTAAAATATTACGCAGATTTTGAATGCATTATTTCATGTGAACGGACATGAGTGTGTCGATGGTGTTTGCAGCTCACATCTGACGGAGCAGGAACAGAAGCGGCACAATTAAAGGTTGATTGCATTATTATCCCTCATCTGGGTCACGGCACCAATTAATGCACGTGACGGCTGAGAGATTATCATCGTTCAGCAGAGAAACTTTCCCGCAGCTGTTTTCCGGCGGCATTAACCGCTGTCATCCAGAAACAACAGCAGCCCAGCGGTGTCAATTATATTTGATTGACTGAGTAAAGCAGCACACAAATAAGCCCAAACAATGGACACAAAAATCTATAGACGACTCTCCTCCTGTCAAATCAAGCGCTCGTCTGCTCCATTTTCATGCTGCACAACAGCCTTAAACTCTCTCTCTTTCTCTCTCTCTCAGATTTGAGCAAATATTCCACGATTCGCTTCGCTCCTCTTCATGCATCAAAGTAAAATGCGCACTAATGCATGACGGATGTGTGTGTAAATAATCGAACAGTGTTTCTGTTTAATGCAAAAATGACAAGACGTCTTGTTTTCTGATGAACTGATCAAAATGAAGCGAGTTTATGATTAAAACAAGAACAAATATCAGTAAATGAGCTAAAAATCTACTTAATTCAAAAGTTTTCATCCCCCACTGGCAGATATTTGTTCTTGTTTTAATCATAAACTCACTTCATTTTGTTCAGGTTCTCAAAACAAGACTAATTATAAGATATTTTCTTGATTCATTAACTGAACGATTCTGTCCTCGTTTGATAGCATTACATCAGCTTAAAATGTCTTTATTTTAATCTCTAAATGTCGTTACAATGATTCCAATAATATAACGTTTCTTGTATTCAAACATTATAAATCCATACTTTAACTCAAAACAATACAGATGACATATAAACGTATTTGAGTTATGAAATAAAGGTGCAGCACCGAATCATTTAATAAAGAACATGATTCATTCGTTCGTTCGCTGTACGGTCGTCGTTCTCTGCTTGGTTTTGATTATTAGGCCTGTAGAAAATCACAGTATTGCAAAACGAATATTTCAAAACTCGCATGTAAGAAAGTGTGTTATTAAGCAAATAGTGTGGGAAAGATTCATGTAATCAAGCACCTGGTTTCTAAATAGTCTGGATTCGCACCAGTTTCTTGTGCAGATGGTTGTTGTGTAACATCATGCTGATTTAAACAGCGCTCGTCTTGCTTTTGCTCTTCTTTCCGGATGTCCCGGCGTGTTTCGGAGCGTTGTTGTTGTTGCTGTTCTGGTTTCCGCTCAGGGTTTCCATTATGGAGCGGAGCGTCCCGAACGCTCGCTTGCTCGACTCCGGCTTGTCTTTTCCGGGCTGGACTTTGAAAGGTCCGTCTTTACGCGGCGGCTCATCAAACGTGACTCTCAGTTTGAGGTTCTGCGAGGTCTTTCTGCGAGAGGACGGCGACTTCAGGGCGCTTTTGGGACTCGTGGTGACCTTCTGGCCTTCGGGGAGCTCTCCCGTCACCTCGGTTTTGGCTTCGGGGTCGCTGTGGTCTGACGACGGAGACGGGTTGTAAACGTCCACGGATTTGGAAGTCCTGTGTGTGAAGGAGAACTTGGTGGCGTGCTCTGTGATGGGCAGCTGCGTGGGCCGCTCGGGTCGAGGCGGTTTGGACTCTTCCGCATCTGATTCGCTGAGCGAGCGCTGCATGATCTGCTTGAGACGCGCCAGCTTGAGATCCCGCCTCTCGCCTGGCTCCGGCCTTCTCATTGGTCCGGCTACAGGCCCCGCCCCTGGCTCCGCCTCCACATCCGTCGGCTCTTTACCCAGCAGCTTGCGCAGGACTGTGTCCGAGTCCATGTGTCTCTGGATGTTATCAGGAGCCGCTTCAGCCGTCAGCGTCATCTCAGGCCACGACTCGACACGAGAGCTGCACGAGACGGAGAGAGACGTCTGTGAGACAAACACATCCGCAGAGGAAACGGTCCTGATGCTGGGTTTAGATTTTTCCCAAATTCTGTTTTTCTGGACTTTTAGTGGTTTCAAAATTTTAATAACTGGAAAAGATGTCTAATCAACTGAAATAATAAAACCTTTAAAATGTAATAATTTATTCAAATTTTAAAAATAATAGTACTTTATGAAATGCGTTCTATTTTTCCCAAATTCCACATTTTCTATTGTAATTTTTCTGGACTTTTAGTAGTTTCAATAAATTTTAATAACTGGAAAAGATGTCTAATCAACTGAAATAATAAAACCTTTCAGATTTAATAATTTATTCAAATTTTAAAAATAATAGAACTTTATGAAATGCGTTCTATTTTTCCCAAATTCGACATTTTCTATTGTCATTTTTCTGGACTTTTAGTGGTTTCATTAAATTTTAGTAACTGAAATGATTTTAGTTGTTTTTGTGTTTTTTGTTTTAATTGTTGTTGTTTTTTGGATTCCATTTTAATTGAAAATCATCAAGTTCTTAATGTATTAATATTTTTACAATAACTGTGTCCTATGAAATGCGTTTTATTTTTCAGAAATTGTGTTTTCTGTTTACATTTTTCTGGATTATGTTTTAATTAAATTTTCATCAAAAAGTATGTGTAATCAGTTGAATTCATAAAGCTTTTGAATTTATTTAAATGTATTTTGATTTATTCATATGTTAACAATAATAGCACCCTATGAAATGTGTTTTATTTTTATAATGTTTGTTTTTTTCTGGATTCTGTGTTTTATGATTTAATATAAACTTATCAAAAACGGCAGTAAACAAACAAAAAAGCATATATAACTATAACAATTTAATTAATCTTCTAAAATGCAATCAAATTAATTTGAAAAAAACATTTTTAATTTATCTGGCAAACTGTTTAAATTAAAACATGATTAAAAAATGGTGTGATATTCCATACCAAAATAATAATATTATCATCATTATTGTTATTATTACTTACATTTTACAAACATTATCTATTTCTGTCAATTTCTTCAATTTAAACTGAACTTTTATTTTGGTGGGTTGTTGTGAAGACCTTTGAGTTTCAGTGTGTTTTAATAAGTTGCATTATTATTATTAATATCAACATTTTTGTTGTTACTAAGTACATTCTACTGTGCAATAGTAATATATATCTGTCATAATTTCTTCAAGTTAAACCAGACTTTTATTTTGGTGGGTTGTTGTGAAGATCTTTGAGTTTCTGTGTGTATCTGACCATAATTTTCTGAAATTAAATGATGTAATGCTGCTGAAGTGACTCTCAGAGACATGCACAGATTTAAATATCAATCTATTTGCAGTTGAATATTCACACACTAGCGCATATTGCCATCTGGTTAAATGTACAGCCCTACTTTTGATTCATTCATCCAAATTTTGCCCCTCCTGCTGTGTGTCAGGCATTACTCAGGGACCTGAGGAAGCGTCTGATGATCAGACCTGGGTGACGGCGGTCTGTCTTTGAGCTCGTGGGTCTGCGGCAGCAGCTGAAGCTGGTTCTGTAGAGCGACTCTCGCCGTGGTTTGTCTGTGAAAGTCAGAAACACAGGCTCACGTCAGTCAGTGCTCGCACGAGTCAAACACGTCAGCTGAATGAAGGCTCTTACTCCTGCAGCTGTTTGGTGAGTTTGACCACCTGCGACGCCAGAGACATGCAGGTCTCCACCACCACCAGATACCTGGAGCAGGTGCTGTGACCCTGCCGCTCGGCATTCTGGGACGGACGCTCGCCCTGCTGGTTCTGCACCGTCACGTTCGAGCCGTACTCCACCAGAGTCTGAACGACAGAGACGTGATGTCACACATTCACACTGGAGTTTGAGCATCAGATACGGCAACAGTCAGAATAAATTCAACATTTAATAAATAACAATGACTCCTAAATGTAAAAATATAAAAGCTACTTCACTTTCCAGCAACATGACGCACCTGTAGGTTTCAAAACGAGTTCAAGTTGGTCGCATGAATTTGTCACGTTAACCATCAGAAAGATGCTTGCTTTGGATGTGACTTCTGTGTGAACTGTGCATGCAAAATTTTGCAAATATGACCGCAATTTTAAAACATTCTTTTAATGTTAAATGTTCATTTAATTCTACAACATGATGCACTGATCTTCTATTGGTCACACGGCTTCACGTGATATGAATTCACAGCTCAGATTTCAACAAACTTAATCCTTGGAAAGAAGTGAAATGTGAATTGTCTTCGCATGAGCTTGTGTTTCCATTCAAATGTGCACAAATAGAAGTGAATGGATTGATGAGTGCAGCGTGACAGACCGTTGATGTACAATATGATCATCAGAACAACACCATGTGTACTGAAGCTAAGCTGAAAAACACACCCATGAGCTCATTAACATAAGACCCTCACATTTACATATCAGCACCTACTTAAATATTCAGCAGCACCACGATGAGCTGAGCCAATCATATCAGAGCTCATTTACATACAGGAGTCTGTTTAAACCTTCTGTGAACACTGGGTCTCATTCATTAATAATTATGCGAATTATTCATATCTATACACACTCAGCAGAACTTCTCACACAAATATTTCTTTATGATTCAAACGTGTGTTTGTTCATAACTTCATTCTAATGTTAATGAATTTGGAGTATTCAAAATGAGTAACTGCATACCTGCTAGTAACTTTATTTATATCTAATAGAATGCTGTGATGCAAAGCTGAATTTTAAATGAATTCTGCATATGAATTCTAATATGCTGATTTATTATCAATGTTGGAAACAGTTGTGCTGCCTAATATTTTTTGGAAACTGTGATACATTTCGAGGATTCTGCGATGAATAGAAAGTTAAAAAGAACCGTATTTATTTGAAATATAAATCTTTTGTAACTTTATACACTACTAAGTTTGGGGTCAGTAAAAAAAAAAGTTTTTTTTTTTTTTTTTTTAAAAAAAAAGCTACTTCACTTTCCAGCAACATGACGCACCTGTAGGTTTCAAAACGAGTTCAAGTTGGTCGCATGAATTTGTCACGTTAACCATCAGAAAGATGCTTGCTTTGGATGTGACTTCTGTGTGAACTGTGCATGCAAAATTTTGCAAATATGACCGCAATTTTAAAACATTCTTTTAATGTTAAATGTTCATTTAATTCTACAACATGATGCACTGATCTTCTATTGGTCACACGGCTTCACGTGATATGAATTCACAGCTCAGATTTCAACAAACTTAATCCTTGGAAAGAAGTGAAATGTGAATTGTCTTCGCATGAGCTTGTGTTTCCATTCAAATGTGCACAAATAGAAGTGAATGGATTGATGAGTGCAGCGTGACAGACCGTTGATGTACAATATGATCATCAGAACAACACCATGTGTACTGAAGCTAAGCTGAAAAACACACCCATGAGCTCATTAACATAAGACCCTCACATTTACATATCAGCACCTACTTAAATATTCAGCAGCACCACGATGAGCTGAGCCAATCATATCAGAGCTCATTTACATACAGGAGTCTGTTTAAACCTTCTGTGAACACTGGGTCTCATTCATTAATAATTATGCGAATTATTCATATCTATACACACTCAGCAGAACTTCTCACACAAATATTTCTTTATGATTCAAACGTGTGTTTGTTCATAACTTCATTCTAATGTTAATGAATTTGGAGTATTCAAAATGAGTAACTGCATACCTGCTAGTAACTTTATTTATATCTAATAGAATGCTGTGATGCAAAGCTGAATTTTAAATGAATTCTGCATATGAATTCTAATATGCTGATTTATTATCAATGTTGGAAACAGTTGTGCTGCCTAATATTTTTTGGAAACTGTGATACATTTCGAGGATTCTGCGATGAATAGAAAGTTAAAAAGAACCGTATTTATTTGAAATATAAATCTTTTGTAACTTTATACACTACTAAGTTTGGGGTCAGTAAAAAAAAAAGTTTTTTTTTTTTTTTTTTTCAAGAAATTAATACTTTTATTAATCAAGGACTCATTAAATTAATCAAAAGTGTCAGTAAAGACATTTATAATATTACAGCAGATTTCTATTTCTAATAAACGCTGTTCTTCTGAACCTTCTATTCATCTGTGAATCCTGAAAAATAAAATGTATCACAGTTTCCACAGAAATATTGTGCAGCACAACTGTTTTCAACATTGATAATAATCATAAATGTTTCTTGAGCAGCAAATCAGCATATTAGAATGATTTCTGAAGATCATGTGACACTGAAGACTGGAGTAATGATGCTGAAAATACAGCTGCGCATCACAGAAATACATTACAGTTTAACACATATTCACATAGAAAACAGCGGTTTTAAATTGTAATAATATTTCACAATTTTTATTGTATTTACTGTATTGTAAAAGAGACTTCTTTAAAAAACATTAAAAATCTTTCTGATCCCAAAGTTTTGAATGGCAGTATATATATATATGTGTGTGTGTGTGTGTGAGTGTGAGTGTGAGTGTGTGTGTGATTTTTCATAAGTATAGTTAATTCTGCATTTACAAAAAAAAAATGTAGGAACAACTGAAATCACATGAACACCAAAACATTTTTAGCACGAAAGCTTTTTGATTTGAAAGCGTATAGATTTTGTTGATGTGTGTGTTGTGTGGTCAGTGAATGAGAGCCAGTGTTTTTCTTTCTGTCTGTAAGCGAACAGAACAATCCTGCGTCTCTCAGCACAGCAGAGCAACAGGAAACAGGAAAGAGAGCTGCTTCCTGTCTCTCACTCACTGCATCCCAGACAAAACAGACGAAGCAGCACCTGAACGCAGCTGAGATGTCCGAACTGAGCCGCCACATGCACCGCCGTGTTCCCGTTCTGATCGGCCTCGTCCAGAGAAATGGCTTGCTCCTGCATGAACTGCAGCAGCCACAGCAGGACACGCTCCTGTAACACACGTGTGCGGCGGTCAGTCACATGATCGGGGGGTCGTCTGCGTGTGTGTCGGCGAGTCGCTCACCTGTCCGTGTCTCGCGGCGTAGTGGATGAGGCTGGGATGCTCCAGACACACACACACGCACGCACGCACACACACACACACATGCATAGACACAGACACACACACGCACAGACACAGACACACACGTAAATCATGGGCTAATTTTCATTTTTGGGTGAACTATCGTTTTAATGGTTAAGACGTAGCTAAACAAATAAAATATTTAATCTTTTATATTTAGTAGGCGTTTTATTTTAATTTTATTATTTTAAAATTGACTTATTTTGCTTTTACATTTTAATGATTAAATTAATTTTAGTCGACATTCAGGTGAACAAATATTTGATCATTTTTTAATGTGTTTTTTGACTACCTATTTTAAAATTGATTTATTTCAGTCTTACATTTTGATGATTTCATTCATTTTTAGTCACATGACATTAAGGTGAACAAATAATATATTTAGACAAATAAGAGTTTATATTTATATATCTTTTTTATTTAGCATTTTAAATTGATTGTCTTTTATTTTACAATGAATCATTTGAATGACTATTTTGTTAGATATTGTGATGTGAACAATATGAAACAGATGTTTTTATATTATTATTATTAACTCGAGAAAAAAATGAAGCCAGAAATATATCACTACTGTAATGATACAATAGTACTATAAAATAAAAATAAATGTTTGATAATTATAATAATAACTGTATTTTCCACTACAAGTTACAAGAGTGAGGTCTTAACTTCTTCACTTTCACATGTTGAACCCTCAAGATTTTATTTTATTTATTTATCTATTTTTTAAATTGCAGGAAGACCTTAAAGTCTGTGTTTAATTGACACCAGGTTTATAAATGCTTCTTGTTACAAATCTGGCTTCTGCTTCCAGCCTTTTGAGAATTGCACTAAACCAATATTGTGCTTTCAATTTTTTTTCATTAATTGTGCAGCCCTATTTATTTATTTTAAATATACATTTCTATGATTTACTTATGCATGCACGCACACATGCTCAAAAAGCATTCTTTGCACCTACTAGCCAATTTCCATCAGCTCACAGACCCTGCTGTAGCATGCAGACCCGGTGTGTGTGTGTGAGTGTGTCGTACCCTGACGGCGAGACCTGCGGGCGTCAGCTGCTGCGTGTTGCGCTCGTTTAGACAGTCCTCGCCCATTAACGAGGTGAGGTGCTGCAGGCAGTCGGCGTGACCCTGAGCCGCAGACACATGCAGCAGGTTGTTCCTGTCCTCGTCTCGGATGCGCTCCAGGTTCTCCGCCGCCAAGTGAGGCTGCAGACACACACGGTCACATTACGTCATCAAACAGAGAATCGAGCCGCTCTTGATATGTAGGTCACAAAAAATCTAAATATTGAGAAAATCTCCTTTAAAGTTGTCCAAATGAAGTTCTTAGCAATGCATATTACTAATCAAAAATTAAGTTTGATATATTTACGGTAGGAAATTTACTAAATATCTTCATGGAACATGATCTTTACTTAACATCCTAATGATTTTTGGCTTAAAAGAAAAATTGATTAATTTGACCCATACAATGTATTGTTGGCTATTGCTACAAATATACCCCAGCGACTTAACACTGCTTTTGTGCTCCAGGGTCACATATGATCATAAAGATACTTCACAGTTCACAGTGTTTCTGAATAAAGCAGTAATTGATGTCATAAAATCACGAGTCTGTTTAAATTTAAAGGTCAGAACTATAGCGTACATGAATAAAAATCACAAACATGACACTTGTAAATTAAATAATTTATTAATAATCATTAATATGTCTTTTTCAGATGGTTTATGAAAACTTAAATACAAGGAGCTCTAAAAGATTTTTTTGTATTTTTACAGCTCTTTTGCTTTAGACCATCTATTAATTATAAATCCACAATTGAAATTTTAAGATGTCAACTGCATCTGTCCGGAAAAACAAAAACAGCAGAGATTGATTTTATTATAGTTATTTCAAGGCTTTCATAATGTTTATTAGTTCTAACAAAAGAGTTTTTGCTCAAAACTAACCAAAATAATTTGGTTTATAATTTCCAGGAGAGACTTGGTGTTGTTTCAAAACAAAGGGAAATATATATCGGTAATCGGCCAAAATGATTTGAAAAATATCGGCAAAAATCTAATATCGTGCATCCCTACTTGAGATGTACATTTTTTTTTTTCAGAAAAACTGTGTAATAATTTTTTGCTTTTTGTAATTAGAGAGAATTTTATTGTACCAATTAATATTTATGTAATAATTATGAACCATTTTTCCCATTGAAAGGAATGCAATTTTTTTCACATTTTTTAAAAATTAATTTTCAATTACTGCAGTATTTCAGGTTAAAATAGAGACTAGCTGTGCACTTTTCTTTCTGCATCATGGCTGATTTATAGATTGTATACGCAAATTATTTTGCTGTATTTTCACATTTTGTCCTATTTCCCATTCATTTCCTATGGTGGTCATTTTTGACCGTGAAGACCACAAGTGTGATTTGTTTTTTTTACAACCACCAGACTTTTCCCAATCATGCCCTCAATTTTTTTGTGTGTTCACAAACCAAATGCCATAAAAGTCACCAAATTTCGTACCGTTCCAACAAAGCAACGAATTTTTAAATTTCAAAATTTCAAATTTTTTGGTCAAAAGTGACCGAAGAGGCCCTGATATATCAAATATGAAACACCCGGGAGAACTGTGACGTCACTTGACATGCACGCGTTGTTGTCGTGTGTAATCAAGGAGGTTCTGAACAACTCAGTTGAATGTATTTTATTACAGTTCACGCTACCATTGCTATTATTAACCCTTTACACACTGTGTAGCTGTCGTCGTCTTTTAAGACAATTTGTTCACAGTAGTCCGTATACAGATATTTGGTTGTTTATGTTGCTTTGCGTTGCAAATGGTTGCGTTGTTTGCATTTCGTCTGCCTGTCTGGTGCTTCAATCACATCTCGAGCGTCAAAACCATAGACTGTAAAAAAACATGGACGCAGTGTCCGTGACGTCACCCGTAGGTTTCTGAAGAGCGTTTTTGTTTAAGTCACTTCCTTTTGGCTTCATGAGAGAGAGCGGGAGGTTGCCGCTTGGTCAAAACACACGACGGCTGAAAAGGAGGCGTGGCTACAGTGTGATGAAGTCAGCCAATCACACGTCCGTCACTGCGAGGGGACACGCCCCTTCAAATTGAGAGAGTGAAAATGAGGATAATACTGGTGCAAAAAAACGGTAAACTTTCTAAACTAACCTTGAGAAGCATCATATAAAAATCTGAAAGTGAATAAATGTCGGAGGAGATGGCGACGGCTCTTACCAGCAGAGAGATCTGTCCTTCTCTCACGATGTTCAGGATGTTCTGCGTCTTCTTGGCTTCTTCGTCGGCTTCTCCAAACGTTCTCCAGGGCTTGTCCTGCTTCGGGGCTTTGGCCGGCTGAAGAGGGAACGCAGCCGAGCCGCCGTCAGGTTTGTCGAGGTCCGGCTCTGATCCGTGAGCGCTCTGTGCTCTGAGATAGTCCTGATCCACAGACTTGGACTTCCTCATGTGGGGCCAGCTGACGGGCGAGAGAAGGCTCTCGGAGAGCACTAGCGTCGCTCCTTTACTGCCGGCACTCCTCTTCTTCAGGCTGGCCGTCTGCTGACTGGACTTGATGTATGGCACGTCCAGGATCTCGTCCATGTCCAGGTCGTAGTGCTCCAGCTCTCCGAACAGAGCTCCGTTCATCGGCAGGCCTCTGCTCTTGTCCTCTTTGCTGCTCTTCCCCTCGGCCTCCGGCTCCGACTCCTGCGGCTGGTGTTTGAGGGGAGACACGCGCTTGACCGGTCTGAACTTGCTGTAGACGTCTGCGACGCCGGTGGGCTTGATTCCCGCTCCGCCGTGTGACGCTGCGCTACGAGCCCAGTTGATGGACGGAGCTGAAACACACGAGAGTGAACCGTCGTGATATGAACATCTTACAGACTCGAAGACACGAATGTGAGTGTCTACGCTAAAGGACCCATAACCGAATGAGCTGCATTTACAATCACTGTAACAAATCAGGGTTATTTCTATAGTGCTTTATACAGCACAGACTGTTTCTATGTTAATAATTTAATCATAAATTAAATAATTTTAAAATAAAAACAAACAAACACAATAAAACACTGACTAAAATTAAATTAAAAAGTAAAAAAAAACACTAAAAATTCATTAAATCGTAAAAATTAAACTTTGAAATAAATCTTACAATAAAAATAGATTGTTACTAAGCAGCTTCACAGCAATAAATAAGAAACTGAAATTAAGTTTAAATTAATCATTTTAAAATAAACACAACCATCAAAAAAAATCTCACTAAAATCAAATAAAAGAGAAATTTAAATAATGTACATTTAAAAATAAATAAATAAAAAAACACAAAAAATTGATCAAATCATAAATAGGGATGTAATGATTATCCGCGAGCCGGTTGAAAATAACTGGCTCATATCGGCCGATAATATCGGCAAAACGATATATCGGTCGGGCTCTAGTACTGTGGTTCGCACACGTGTGACTCCTGTATAGATCTGAATGACTCATGAATGAAGCTCCTTCAGTACCTTGTCTCTCGTCGTTCGCTCCATCGTGTCTTCGGCACAGCTCAGGAATGCTCTTGTACTGAGACAGGACACACATCAGACGGGTTAAAGGTCATCAGACACTGATGCTAACACCGATCATGCTGAAGGAATGATGGGAAATGAGCTGTTCCTGTAGCTCGACAAACTCATGAGTCTGACTTCCAGGAAACATCTGAGCAATTCAACGAAACCAAATGAACACACAGAGCAATACATCAGGAATAAAGACTGTAATCTACATAAACTCTATTCAGCATAATTCAATCCTAGAAATGCCATATTTAACATTTAATATACTTTAAACTGTTTAACTACAGCAGCGTTTCTCAGAAGAGTTTCATGAGTTGATGGAAAGCTAATAATTAAATAATTAAAATTAACAGTTGTAATAAATTATTTTAAAATAAAAACATTTACATAAAATGAAATCAAATAGTAAAATTTAAATAAGTTTTAAATAAAAGGTATATAAATACAAAATTTAAAAAAAACTGACTATTAATTAAAAAATAGAAATTAAATGTTGAAATTTTTTTTCAATAAAAACAAATAAAATAAAACATTTACAATAAATGAATGAAATCATAAAAATGTAACCAATATTTTTAAAATAAAAGCAAAGCATTTAATAAACATTAAATTGTAATGTTAAATTAAAATAATTAAATCAATATAAGTAAAAACTAATAAAAATAAAACACTTACGAAATATGAAATATTTTATTTGTTTAGCAGTATGTCATGTGACCATTAACCAACAAAAATTTAAAATTTAAATGAATAAGTTTAAAAGAAAAAGAAACTAAATAAAATACTTACTAAAAATTTATTAAATAATAAAAATGAAAAGTTGAAATAAATAATTTAAAAATACAACACTTAATAAAAAAGTATTTAATCAAAAATTAAATTTTTTAATAAAAAATAAAATGCTTACTAAAAATAAAATCATAAAAATGTTAAATTCAAATAAATAAATCAATTTTAAGATAACAACAAATCAAAATAAAACATTTTAAGACATGACATTTTATTAGTTTATCTGCATGTCATGTGACCAGTAACCGATATCAGAGAACCGTGAACATGTGAATGTGCTGATAATTTATTGAAATATTAACTTAAAATCTCAGGGGTAAATTTTTTAGCTCAAATGTGTTTAGCTTATAAAAAAATGTTTGGGAATCGCTGGATTACACCAGGGGTCGACTGGTTATCGGCACCGATATTACGCTTTTTTATGGTTATCGGTATCAGTCATTTTCAAAACTGATTTGCCGATAAAATAATTTAAAAGCATTTAAAGAAACTTTTTGTCAGAGCCCTTGTTATTCTTAGTTTTGGACATTAATTTTCATTTTTCAACCAGAAATACCAGTTATCGGTCTACTTGATCTGTAATAATCGGTATCGGCCCTGAAAAACACATATCCCTATACTATCACGTGGCATGAAGATCCATACGTCACTTCAAAACACAGAAATATGATTTGGCTGATTAATAGAGTCATAACACATGATCATAAACTCACAGGTAAATCATCAGTGAAGTCAATCTCATCCAGATCCAGGTATTCAGGAACGTCCATCTTCAGCCAGCATTCTGAGACACACACACACACACACACACACACACACACTCCATCATTACAGAATCAAACATCAATTACTGTACTACATTCATGTGACATCACTCCGAGTGCAGGGGGCGGGGCTTGAGCTCACACATCAGCACAGGATTGGATGGTGGGGCTGTGGGCGTGGCTATCAGGTGTGTGTGTGTGTGTGTGAGTGAGTGAATGAGTGAGTGTGTGTGTTTGTGTGTGTGTGTGTGTGTTTGTGTGTATAGTGTCTCTGTCTCTCTGTGTGTGTGTGTGTGTGTGTGTCTTTTGTTTCTAGCATTAGCTTTAGCTTTAGCATCTCCCGTGCTCTCTCCGTGTTTCTCCGGTTTCCCGCGCGTCTCTCGTGTCGGATGTTGTGCGTGTCTGTAGTAACGTTACCTCGAGCCCGCTGCTGTCTGTCGCCGCTCTCGCCGCTCGTCTGTCGGTGTTTCTGCCGTTTACCGGATCCTCTGAAGAATGTGACACGAGCGCGCGCCTCCCTCAGCGTCCTCAGCGCGCGCGGCCCCGACACACACGCGCAGACACGCGCACGCACCAGCAGAGGGCGACAGACGCAAAGCCTAACACGCATCAGTAAGACTTGATATGTTTTAAAGAAGTCTCTTCTGCTCAGCGAGGCTGCATTTATTTGATCAAAAATACAGTAAAAATGTGAAATATTGTTAGAATGTAAAACAGCTGTTTTCTATGAGAATATCTGTTAAACTGTAATGTATTTCTGTGATGCGCAGCTGTATTTTCAGCATCATTCCTCCAGTCTTCAGTGTCACATGATCTTCAGAAATCAGTATAATATGCTGATTTATTATCAGCTGTGCTGCTTCATATTTTTGGGGGGATCCTGTGATACTTTTTTTCAGGATTCTTTGATGAATAAAGTAAAAAGAACAGCATTCCTTTAAAATAGAAATGATGCTGATGAAAATTCAGCTTTGAAATCACTGGAATAAATTACATTTTAAAGGATATTAAAATAGAAAACCATTATTTTAAATGGTAATAATATTTCACAATATCACTGTATTTCTGATCAAATAAATGCAGCCCTGATGAGCAGAAGAGACTTCTTTAAAACACATTACAAGTCTTACTGATCCCAAACTTTTGAGCGGCAGTGTGTATCTAGCTATATAACCTGACACTAACAGAAAACTTACTGCATTTATTTATTTATTTTTTACATTTTTACAATTTAGAATTTAACTTTATTTACTTTTTTTAAATTAAGATTAAGAGCATTTTAACATTTTTATTAGGATTAATTTAATCTTAATAAATGTAATAAAATTAATACATAAAAAAAAAATAATTTTGATTCCATTTTTACTAATGACATTTTTTTTAGTCGGATATAAATCATGTCTGGATACAAAAATAAATGGTAGATTAATTTGAATTAAAAGTTAATTACATTTTTATTTTATTTTTACAAATGAGGAGGTTTTCTCACAAATATGGTTAATAAGGTACAAAAAAATGCAAATGCACACCTTATGGAGGTGCGAGTTAGGGAAAAAGACTAATTAAACACACATATTCATATTCACACAGCTCTGATGATCAGTTACGTTCCTCTTCACTCACTTAATAAGAACACATGAAAATTAAGAAAACATATTCTCATCTGCGTTTATTCAAGTTTGTGCCTCCTAAACTAAAGTGACGTATAATATCAATAGCACCTCTAAGAGGCTGAAAAAATAATAATCTTAAAGCACACAGAAAACATAAATCTGAAAACGATGTTCACATTTTCAGTGAACGCTCTTATTAAACGCTCTTGATGTTTTTGCACACATCATTAAAACTAAACCAAACTATTTGTAGAAACATTACGAGTAACAGATAATACGTTGAAAACAACCTCGACTCTTTCAGAGTAAAAAGCACGATAAAACACTACAACTACGACTGGATGGAGTTTTATCATTATTTGGCACTAATAAAGTCAACACCGTAAGGCTTTGCTGTGAAATTATTACCCAGCTAACAGAGAATGCACCCTTAATGTTTTTGTGTTCAGAAATGTTCCACGTTTTTGTAACATTTTCAAAATGATAGAATAGAATGTTTGAATAGCCAAGTTTTTTTAAATACAAAAACGGATGTTTTAAACATTCAGATGTAACATTCTCATAATGGAATGTTTCACATAACCGAGAAGAAGCGCTGGTAACATTGGCACTCCGAAGTCATGTTTTAATGGGAATGTTAGGAAACATTCTCGGAACATGTTTTTGTTGGCTGGGTAGATGCATCAGTTCAGATCGGTGTCTGTCATAATTCTGCGTTATTATTGTCACAGATATTAGCTTTATCTCTGCACAGTAAACACAGCTGGTCTGCGATCATCATCAGGCCGTCCTGGTTTCTCTCGTATCCTAGTGTCTGTGAAGAGAAGGATTGCAGGATTAACACACGAGGTGGTTTCTTTCAGGTAGGATGAAGAAAGCGCGTCACTTACGGCGTCACGCTGCAGCCGGACACGTGCGCGGAGTCTCCGGTGTAGTGAACGTCGCAGCGAACTATATTATTGCTGAAGTCTGACTCCGACACCTGGAAGCCTGGGTTTACTGTAATCTGAAATAAAGCACATCAGATCCTTGAGAAGATCCTCAAACGAACAGCAGCGCATTTGTGGAGGGTTTCTGACCTTCAGCGTGTAGCGTCCCGGCGGGACGTCTGTGATATCGATCCACTGACAGTCGATGTCCGCGCTGTACGTGTCGTAACATCCGGGACTCAAACCCTGCGATGGAGAATAATTACACCTCGCCACACTGGCTGCCTGTCATTTGTGCTGTGTTTAAGCTCTGGCTCGCTGCCGTCTGTATTGCTGGGTAATTACGCACCTGCGTGTGAGACGTGCAAGCGTAGCGGCGGTAGTATCCGGGGTCACAAGACGTGTCTTCCAGACAGAAACTAGCTTTATGGCCCTCGGCGACGCGCTGCTGTGTGCCGGAGTCCAGCAGGTCGTAATGACAGAACTCATTCATGCTGTGATAGTGACTGACCACAACAAAACATCAGCAGCAGCACACTTACATCTTCTGTTCTTTAGAACAGCTTTCTTCAAAGCCAGCAATCTTTTGCCATTCAGAAGTTTTAGCTTATTATTGTTTCTGAAAGAGTCTCTTGTGCTCATTAGAGGTGCATTTATTTGATTAAAAATACAGTAAAAATGTGAAATATTATTAGAATTTAAAACAGCCGTTTTCTATGTGAATATGTGTTAAACTGTAATTTATTTCTGAGATCAAAGCTGTATTTCCAGCATCATTACTCCAGTCTTCAGTGTCATATGATCTTCAGAAATCAGTATAATATGCTGCTCAAGAAACATTGATTATTATCAATGCTGAAATCATTAAGATTTGTGTGCAAACCGTGATACAGTTAATTTTCAGGATTTACAGATGAATAGCATTTATATTTTGTAACACTATAAATGTCTGCACTGATCCTTGAAGTGTTTCTTTTTAAAGCAGTATAGTGTACATTCAAATAGTTCACTTTGCATCACACTATAAATAATGTATTGTATCATTAGCAGTTATTCTGTGAGATGCAGTGATGTGTGTATTTCTCCTCACTTGTGACAGCTGTGCCATTCCCAGGCGTATCTCGGTCTGCTGGGCAGAAAGTCTGCGGTTCCTTGATTCTTCACACGCTGTGGGAACCTCAGCAGAACCCTGGTGTCGTAATCTCGTGCGTCTGCAGCCGAACTGAGGAACACAGCGGGACACTTCACTGATTTTTCAACAGGTTCAGCAGAGAAACCTCTTATCGAGAAACCGCTCTGGCTCTTGGCAGGTTCTTCAGATCAGTGTTATGTTGTGTTCTTTAAAGACCTAGAGCGTTTCTCCTGTGACATCTTCAACATCCCAGCCAACAGGGAAAGCTCCCATAACACTCACTAACATTTCTGAATGGTTAAATGTTAGGACAAAATGTTTTTATAACATTATTCATATTTGATATACGTTCTTGAAATGTTGAGAGGAAATGTTCATCCTCATGATGTGATTTATAACATTCTTCAGTTATAACAATAGAATGCTCTCAAAATCTAGAATAAGATGTTTCTCTAACATTCGCATAACAAGGAAAAAAGTGTTTTAGATGTTGAGAGAACATTCAAATGTAACGTTCTCAAAATGATAGAATGGAATGTTTCAATAACGTTCAAGAAGAAACGTTCTTGATACATTAAAACACTGGACGTTTAAACAATATTCAGAAATAACGTTTTCATAATGGTTTATAAATTATAAAACGTATAATGTTTGCATAAACAAGAAGAAACGTTCTTTAGATATTAAAAAAAATGCATGTTTTAGATGTTGAGAGAACATTCAAATGTAACATTCTCGTGTTCAAAATGATAGAATGGAATGTTCCTCTAACGTTCGCATAACCAAGAAGAAACGTTCTTAATGCATTAAAAATTGACATTTTGAATGTTTAAAAACATTGAGAAATTATATTTTCATAATGTTTTCAAAAGGATACAATGTAAATGCTTCTTTAATGTTTGCATAACCAAGAACAAATGTTCTTCAAATATATTTTAAAAAATGGTGTTTTAGAGGTTTAGAGGACAATTACATTTAACATTATCATAACATTTTCAAAATACAGATTAAAATGTTTCTCAAAAATTTACATAAACGAGAAAAAAAATCGTTCTTTAAGTAGCCTATAAAAAAACACGTGTTTTAGACAAAGCAGACGAGCAGCACCTGGCCAGGCAGTTCTCCTCCGCAGCGCATCTGAGGCTGTACATGGCCACTCTCTGGACATACGTGGACACCTGGATCATGTAGGGATCCACCACCAGATCCGGGAGACCTGTGGACATTCACGAGAGAGAGTTTCATCATCATCATCATCATCATCACAAAGACTCACGCACTTCTCACCGTTCTGGAAGTATCTGGTTCCGTGTCCGTGATGCCTCTGCGCGCTTCTCTGTCTGGGTCTGTAGTACGAGTCGTAGTAGTTGTAGTATGGACTATAGGGACTGTTCCTGACGGATTTGTAGGGATCGTACGGGTCATCGGACACCATCCCGTCATCAGAGGCGTTCTGCCGGTCTGTGATCACGGTCACCGGCGCGGGTGCTGCTCTGCTCGCCTCTCTTCGCCCCGGCGGCACGTACCGGGACCCCGGGCTCACCAGCTGATACGCACGCCCGTTATTCGTCCATCGCGTCCGTGATCCGCGGTGAAGCTGAGAGAACACCGCCAGAAGCCGAGCAGAAGCACACAGAAACAGCAGGACGACACCGAGCCGAGCCATGATGACCGGCGAGAAGACGCGCCTCGAGCTCCCGGAGCAGCAGGGGTTGTTTGAGAATGCGCTGAAGATGAAGATGAAGCTGAAGATTAAGATGAGGAGGGGCTGCTGAAGCTGCTGCGCCTGCACGAGTTTCACAAGTTCTGGATCAGTTGCACAAGTGACATTTAAAACCTCGTGATATATTACCGAGCACAGATTTCACATCAACAGCATTATATAT